TAAATAAGCAGATTTTTTAATTACGCGGTATTAGCAAGATTGTTTGCATTGTCTCATATCAGACATTTCTTAATTAAACATTTGTTTAATTAAAAAAATTGCGTGAGAATTAATTTTACAACGTGAAAAGGGTCTAATTTTGCGAAAAATCTCTTTCAAAACAAAGATGAGTAAGCAGTATTTATCATATGAATCGTGTAACTCATCGTAAAATAATACTAAAAAAAGAAATAAAGTCCATATAAAAGATTTGCTGAGAAAGAGGGAATCCTCTTATAAGATATTTTCTCGCGAAAACAAATCACTTTTAATAAATAATATAATAAATCATTTGATACAAAGACACGTGTCATAAATATCATTGCGCCTTTCGTGCCATAATAAATGGAATCAAATGAATACCTGTTCAATGTTAATATTAATCATATCGATGATCGATGGATATCTAACATGATGTATCTACCTCTTCACAATTGATCGTATATTTTAGAAACATTCCGGCTATGTGAACTATGTAATATACATATAAAGCGCAAAAATTGGTAAATGCAATTATTTTATTTTTAAATTACATTACCGATTTGTCAAGAATATTTTGCAAAACTTGTTTCAATCTTAAAAATTATGTTCTATTAAGAATGGGAAAAAAATTAATATTTGCAAAATAAAAGTTTGTTATATTAAATAATTTGATGATTAAGCATTAGTTTAATAAAATTAATGTAAGATTATCAAAGAAATACGCTTTATAGCTTCCATTTGTAAATATTCCAAATACTTAATTTACTAAAATCTTTCTGCTTTTGATAGTAATAAATTCTATAATATCATGCCAAAATTAAAATTATTTAAAAGTATCAATTTCAATTAAGTACTATAAATACAAATTATAGTGATTATAGAATATGTCTTGAATTTTGACAAAATGGTTTAATACAAGAAGCGTAAGATCTGCAAATAGAGTTTAGTCAAGTTTGGTACTACACGAAGAAAACAGAAAAATATTCCAATCGCTGAAACCAATAGCGCTCAACGAGGCAAAAGTTGTCATTTTTGCGCCACGCTCCGATAATTGCTTCTCCTGATCGTCTCTCGTTCGCGACATCTTCGTTCTATTTGAAATTAACCGTTCAAACACGATTCGTATTAAAATTCAGCGCTACGCGAAGCAATCGTTCCACAAGTGCTTCTCCGATCGTGTCCGCTATATCTCGATTAAATTTCGTTCCCATTCAAAAGCTCGCGAAGTGGAATTCTCCTTTTTCCCTTGATATTCTACCTTTTCTTCAATTTACCGATAAAAGATTATATCAAGAAATTATTTAGAGGATAACGGAGTGTCTAATAATCAGAGCTCTAACATGATGAATCAGTATCTTCTAAAAACTATCATGTTATAAAATATATATTATACAGATTTACTTACTGTTACAAAATTTTCTAGAATGAAATGATTAGCTTATTGTAACTTTTAAATATAAAATATGAAAAGTATCAAACATTTAATAGAGGAATTTACATTATCTTTAATAGCTTTAAATCAATAAAAATAAAATGTACAGCAAATATTATGCATTAAATATATCAAATTAAGATTTAAAAACTAATGCTATATTTACAATAATTTAAGATTAATGCATTTTTATTATCAATATCTCTATGTTTATTTGCGATAGCTTTTTTCCGTTTGCTGATTTTTCGACCCTCTGATTTCTTTGTCTATGCGATAAATAAGCTCAGGAAAAATATATGACGGTCTACTTTATCCACCTTTGTTTGCGTGTTCCTTAATAAGAGCCATTTTGCGCGTCGCAAGACTTCGTGCTCGCAGCTATAGCTTATTTAGCCAACTGTAAAAACAGATCACATTCCCGCGTTAAAACCAACTCGCGTAAAACTTAATTCGCAAAACGACAAAATGTTGGTAAATTTTTCTTTCGAGTTAACCTTTCAAGCGAACTAACAAGCATCAAAAAACAAATCCCATTTTCATCATTATCTCAGACTTTAGACAAGCAAGATACTCAGATATACAATCTTAAGGATCCTTTTAGATTTATAATTTACGACAAAATTTAAGAGAAAATCGATAATTTTATAAATATATTTTAACATATATGTGTATCTTAATATGTATTTTGTGTGTGTATGTATGCATACGTTTTTTACTTCTTGAAATGTTTTTTTTTTTATATTACACAACACAAAGTTATAAATTCTTTTTGTCAATTATATAAAAAAATAAAAGAGATAAATAATATATCTACTATAACTAGAACCATATTATAAAATTACACATGTTAATATTTTATAAAAATTGTAAAAATTTATTTACAAGTGCTTAATATTACATTCTTAACAATGTAACCAAAACTAAATCCATTATACCCATAATAGTCGGTGAGAATATTTTGTTTTCCTACGAAACTTCTCGACTATATTCTTTGCTCTTCTGGTAATCCTTTATTTAATTTTAACATATAATAGATTAAAGCTCCAATTCGTAATGAAACGCTGCGCAATTTGTTCTTTTTGGACATTTAGCTTGTATGCAACGCTAACGAGACTATCAAAAGCTCAGAAGTGTCAATATTATCCTAAAATATTATTCAAATTATAGATAAATATTTAATTTATATCTTCCAAGGAGAATACGCCATCATTTAATCCGAAATATCTCGGCAATTTTGTATGATTCGTCGAGAGCAAATGCTCGTAGGAAGTATTCCATTCTTTCAAGAAGTCTTTCAACAATTGACTCCCCTTCTGGCAATACTGTGTTTAATTTTGTGATATAATGGATTAAAACTTCGGATCTGTTGTGTTGGCTCTGCTCAAACTATGAGCTCGTTATGACTCGCGCTCAAAAGGATCTAAGAGAAAAAGCGGAACGCCTCGATGATTTTCAGTGTATTTCAGCAAAAGAGCAGAAAGTAATTTCATCCCCATACACGGAAGCGAAACAATGAACGATGTGCGCCGGAATCGCGCTTTGGCGCAAAATGAAATGACGCTGCACGGGGCATTCGAATTTCCAAAAGTTTATTCCGCCCGTTGCTCGCCGACTTCATTACAGTTGCAACAAGGGCAGATTGCGCGACACGCGAGCTTCGCACATTTCTTTTTTTTTCTTTGTTTAATTTATTTTATTAATTCTTTATTTTATACCGTCGCGGCAATATCCCGTATCCAATTTTTATGTGTGTGTGTGTGTGTGTGTGTGTGTGTGTGTGTGTGTGTGTGTGTGTGTGTGTGTGTGTGTGTGAGACCCAAAAAGAGAAAGATATTATACGTGTGTGAAACCCTCTTCCGTGGAAATTCCGTTTAAATAAATAAATAATCGTTATCCATATATATCCGTCAAGCAACGTGGGAGAGTTTGCAGAAATATTTCATGAAATTGGATGAAAGAGTAGAATAATTTGAATCTGTTGCCGCATTTTCCTCGATATTGTAATATTTTTAGTCATATATTTTTGTTAGTAAATATTGCATATTGCCAAGCTATAAAAGAAGATCGCATTTAAGCGGATCCTTCTCAGGGAAAAACTCAAATCATTTCTTTATTTTATAGACAAGAATCCCGCATTATTTTTGGGTCGACTCATGACCGCACTAAAATCAACATAAAAATAAAGATCCATCGTAAAATAATGAAAGGTAAACAATGTCCCATCAAATTAAATATGATTGGCGTGTGCAATTCTCCTTAATTTATGGAAACAAAACTTTTAAATTTTTCTTCGTCATCAAATATCGTTGATCAAATCGATTCTCATGATTATTCACCGACAAAGAAGAGCAAGTAAGAAGAAATATCGATGGCATGGAATCGCAAATTATGATCATGATGATGAACGTAAGAAAGAGGGTTTGGATTTGAGTGGCAAAGAGAAGGTGTATAACGATGTCGCTCTATCCGGGTTTGTTCTGCCCTACTTCGTTCTCAGGGGGCGGCTTTCGTTCATCCCTACTTGCCGATCCTCCTATGGATCGGATCAGATTACCAGCCGCGCCGAGGCCCTTTACCCGGAGAAATGCGGGTTTCCATTGCACCGAATTGGCGACGTAAGGGGATTGGGGGTAACGACGAGCGTTGCAATACTAGCTTCGTATACTTCCACGTTTTGCCCTCTTTCTTTGGCCGGCCTTCTTCATCTCGCTTTGGTCCAGCGCGATCTCGTCCCCGAATAGGATTCTCATGCGAGAGGAATGGGAAAGGGAATGCAAGGAAACGATCCTTCAATTTATTCTCTTTTCAAGCAAAGACTTTCCGGTTTACTCGCGCAAAACGCTTTACACATGTGCGACCTGAATGCGAATTCTCGGATTAATTAAGCTTGTAAAAGGTTGAGCTTACTGTGCGCCGTAGATGAAGCAATGAATATTTCAAGTTTGTATTCCAACAACGGTTAATGCTGAAGTAAAAGGCTTTATGTGGGTAACCCTTGCTCTCTGTGCTGTTATTAAGGAAGAAAAATCTCCTTAAAAATAAGCGTGAATTATTGCGGTAAATGTATAAATCTGTGTGTTAAGCTTATCACATAAATTTATATAAACTGAGCATAAATGAAATGTCCTGTGTCTTCTGTAGAACAATGTAGCAATGACTCATTATCAAATATCAAATATATATTATAAGTTTGTTTCTTTTTTTTTATCAAGAATATTCAATATCAAAAAGTTTATTATTTTATAAATATTTATAAAATGTAGATTCAACTTTTCATTAAAAAACTCAAGCTCACAATTTAAAATTTAATTTTAATTTTTTATCAGAGATTATAACAAAAACAAATTAGAATTTCAATTGTATATATCTATAGTTCATTGATCTTTGTTTCTATATTCTTTGATAATGCAACAATAAATTATATAGATTTCAAAAGGTTTTTCTCTAAAAAGTCAATAAATGCAACAATCATTATAAAATCGCGAAGCAATCCCTACCTCAATATCCGTTGTTAGAAATAACAGACAGCTATCAGAGATTCGCTTACCTGTAATGACGACATTGATTTTCTTAACCAACGGTGGATGCGTAGCGACTTGGCATTGATACAATCCCGAATCGCGCGGGCTCGCGTACAATATCTGCAATCTCCAATTGCTAGGATATCTGCAAGATCAGATAATAAGAGATAATGAGAGAAAAATGGTCGGACTTGTGGTACAACTGTAAAATATAAATCGTTAGGAAAAATGCATCTTCTGGCACCACTGATACAGATGCACTTGTAATTTGCAACGAAGTAACTGGGATGTAGATAAAGGAAAATTGATATTACATATTATTTTCTAACGAAGGTTTCTCATAATGTCTCGCTTCACCGGATCTAGATTAGTACCGCGAAGCAGAGCCGCGTTACAGCGAGACTGTTTCTGATTTTTACAGCGCATAAAACGGCTGACTTGATCACGGTGAAGAAAAATGGGAGCAAAATTTCTCTATCTTTACGAACAGCGCAATCATTCCGACGATGATGAAAAACGACCGCGATCATAATTCGACGCTGTCGACGGGATTACGCGGTTCACTGCCTGGATTACAGCAAATGATAACGAATTATGATAATACCGTCGACAATTCCGTCGAATTTTGAATTTCACTCATCGTTGCAATCAGGCGCTGTTATTCAGCGGTGAAATCCTACTTCAGAGATGATATAACTTCACGACGAGATAATCGACCTCGCCTATTTCTTAATAAAGTCGACGTACATGGATAGAAAGAATTTATTATATGTATCTATATATATATATATATACAGGGTGAGTCAGTTTAATCAACGCACGCAAATATCTCGTAAAGTAAGCAAGATGGAAAAAAAATGTTTTATACAAAAGTTGTAGGGTTCAGAGGGGGACACATGATGAAAATATGGGCTTGACCTTGAGTGACCTTTTCAAGGCCAAGTCAATGTGATCGATATTTTCTTAAATGGAACCCCCCCTTTTTTATTGCATATTATTTTTTATATCAAAATATGTCAGAATAAAATATAAAATAACTCAAAAAGTACTTAATGAAAAAATACTTTATTATAGTGTTTTGAAAAGCTTTCGAGATAAGCTACAAAAGAATATGCAATAAAAAATGGGCGGTTCCATTTAAGAAAATATCGATCACATTGACCTCACCTTGAAAAGGTCACTCAAGGTCAGGTCCATATTTTCATCATGTGTCCCCCTCTGAACCCTACAACTTTTGTAAAAAACATTTTTTTCCATCTTGCTTACTTTACGAGATATTTGCGTGCGTTGATTAAAATGACTCACCCTGTATATGTATATATACGACTTACCTAAAATTAAGACTGATTCTTTGGTCGTTGCTATATGACATTTTACCCACTGTCAACAGACGAAATGAATCCTTACTATGCTGCAACCATGTCACCTGCAAACAAAAAGCAACGTCATTATTATCATCTTTAGTAATTATTTTTGTCAAATCTTTAAATAAAATGAATATTCTTATTGCCATGATGATATCTGCAAAAATGAAATAATTATAGAAAGTACACTTTCTTATATTTTTTAAATAAATCATTGAGATATATCTATATCTTTGAAACAATTACTGTGCCTCTCGCTGAAAAATACGACAGGACGTTCTCAAGAGACAGAGAGGTCGCATTGGAAATTAATAAGTCTATTTGCTCTAAGATCTTAAACAAGGCATCAAGCAATTTCCGTTCCAAGCGTATGTCGGTTCATCGGCAATGAATGCAGCAAACAATTTCCGCGGAGCTCCGGCCAGATGAGTATTGATTTAAGGTTCATTCACACGATACGATTATTGAACGATGCTATAGAAAAGTTTAGTGTGTGATATCAAATTTATATAATTTAAATAATTAACTTCTTATATAAGAAGAAGCAAATGTGAAAATCTAACTTTGTTGAGAGATAGAATTAATCTTAAAAAAATATTTGTACAAAGAAAAAATTATTTTTATTAATCTTTTACTTCATATATATTCTTATGTGTGGAACTTTTTATTAAACTCTAATTATAATTTTCATTTGCGGCATGTTTACTATCGCTTAAAGCAGATATTTCAAAACAATATTCACTTGTAGATAGAAATAAAGATTTTAAAATGCAATGTAATTGATTATATTTTTTTATATAATATAAACACGTCTTTATGTTGTTTGCAACAACATTTCCGTCCTCTTTGTGTACGAAGCATTCTCTGGAGATTCATATCATATATGCCAACCAGCATAATAATGAGATATCTGGGGACAAGCTTTCACGATTTGTCATCGAGAATAAAACGGACAATCTATCTTGTAAAAACTTAACGCCCGCGACAAAAACATTAACCGTTCAGAAGATTTTGTAGACGCCCGAATTATGTTACGGAGAACTTTTTACTAAAGGAAACGGGGAAAATAATTTCTAGACAAGTCGGACGGCCCCTTATACGCTGCGTGCCATCCGAATTAAATTTGTCGCTCGCCAGAAAAGTTATCTCGGAAGTCGCCGAGTTCGAGAAGAGCCGTTTCAGTGGTCTTTAATATAATGGAATTAACGAGGGTTCAACTTTTGAGAGAGGATAACGTGACGCGAAAATAGAAACGTGCAAAAAAATTTTTTAAACCGATCAGCCTGGCCGTAAAAATTTTAATAAATTGTATAATATATACATCAAAATTAAACAATAAATAATTTCAATTTTGTTATATTTTCTGATCAAATAACACATTACAATATAAATAACTAGAGAGTTTTATTAATTTTGTTTTAGGCATTCTTTTTACTATAAATTGCATGAATTCTATAGCTAATCCCATTTCTTCTTTCATTAAAAGATTAAATTTTAAAAATAATGTCGAGGCTTTAGATCGCAGAACTTAAAATTTGCATTGTTTTTAATAGAATGCTTTATTTTATTTTTTATAAGAAAGCATTGTTAAATCCATAATATTGTTCAGTATAATCGCAAATGTACACAATACATGCTTGATACATGTAAGTACAATGGATATTATGTCGGCGTTGTATCAGGATTATTCTACTTAAAAAGTCGTGATCGCGAGTAAATATTTAAGGCGGACAAATATTTCCTCGAATAACCGTTCTTTTAAGCAGTCATTTTACGGAAAAGGAACGACTTGGCAAACAGTACGGACGATGTTTTATAATTAAGTTCCCTTCGAGTTGTTTACTATTCTCGGAGCGCGCGCGACGCGCCGTACATGCATAGGGGTGACACACGCATACACGCACGTTGAATCGGAAGCATTCATTTCGTTCCTTGGCGCGCCCGTCCCAGCGCAATCGGTTTCGCATTACGTATTCCGCGGAATATGAATCCCACGGGGAACCCCTGAGCGCTGTATCTCGAGCGGTCCGAAACTTTGTGCCGTCCGACGAAGAAGAACAAACGGACGTGGAAATCACGTGGCGCGAAAGGGACAGGAGATATCGCGGGAAAGAAACGGCACTGATTGAAATGCGAAAACTTTCGCAACGACAAGATGGACGAGAATGTACACGGCAGCGGCCACTAATAAACGATGTGTTTGCAATTATAATCCGCGCCTCTTTTCTCGCTCGCGGCTGCGTCTTTCTCGCATTCACGGCTTCTCGCTCATCGCGCCTTCGTCTCGATTCGCGTGATTTGACAGAGAACAAACGAGCGATCTATCTAATTGAATTCGCGGAGTTCGTACAATCAGTATCGCCTTAGTCTTGTGAATTTTAATTATGCTTAAATTTGACAAACTGAGAAATACCTACTGAGAATTATATCATTGAAATTATGTAAAGAATTTTAGAAGGTCTGTAAGAAGGTTTATAAAAATTCTATCTTTCTACATCTTTGTACCTTCCTTGTAATTGTAATTTCTTTGGTATATATTATTTCTATAAAAAGAAAAATATAATTATGATAATAAACTAAAAAGATATATAAAAATAATTTATAAAAATATTTAAAAAAGTTTAAGTTAAAAAATTAATATTATCACACTTATTATTACACTTTTCTATAATTATCCCTATAAAATATCCCGATTAAATTAATATAATATCAATAGACACTAAAATAAAACGAGTATATTCTCGCCGCAAAATGCCTGGAATTATCGCGACAGTCTGCCGCCGATGAAACTAAAGTCTGACTCAACAATTTAGTCTCTCTTCTCATTATAATTCGCCCGTTTGTCACACAATGTCGTCGATCACGAAGTTGTAACAAGATTTAAATTTCCATTTTGCTTTTATTCGACGTCTCCCTCGCATCATCTCGCAGTCGCTGCAGGAAAAATTAATGAGACGAATGACAAATAATGCGACTCACCTCTTTATTGCCTAGCATGCCGATTTTGCAGTCCAGCAAAACGGTGCTGCCGATTCTCGTGGTGACATTCATCTCTCGATCGCCGTCCTCGAAGTACGGACCGAATTTACCAAAGGCGCTATCGACGCTGGGCAGAACAAACTTTCTGCCCGATAGAGTTTTGTGAGTGGTCGTCTGGGACTGATGATCACGACCGCGTTCCGTTTCTAGCGTCCTAATCGACGGTTTTATTTCGTAGAAGGCCTTCGTCGATTTGCCGCTCAGCAGTAGATTGTTGGCCGATCTAGACTGATTCTTCCTCGTCTCACCAAGCTTTCGCGTCTCGTTCATCTGGTCGATGCTGGTCTTCCCCTGTTGTCGGCTGTCCTGATAATCCTCCTCCTCGTTCGGTGGCGGTACTTGGAACGAGATCGCCCTGATGTCCTCCACGTTTCTCTGCTCGCTTTCGTATTTCGCTTTCGTAACATCTTCCTCCTTCTCGACCGGCATCATTGTCAGCCAATCATTCTTTGGCTTTTCTATTGTAGACTCGTTCGTTCCTCGAAACTCTTCGATGTGCTTCAACGTCGCTAGCGCCTCTTCCGCCTGTTCCGAGTCCTCGATCCTCTTGGAAGCGAATATCATTTGGTCTACATATTTCTTCGATGTGTTTTCGAAGTGAGCTTCAATCACGGTAACGAGCGAGAGAGAGCTCTTCGTCGAAGTTGGATACTCAACCGCGACGGCGGAAATCACTTCCTCAAGGGCCGCTGTATCGTTATCGCGAGACCAACCAACGGTTTCGACGGTGTGATTCGTTGCAATCCTTTCGCCGGAACGCTGATCTTCCTCGTCGAGATGATTGATGCCATGCTCGATGGCGCCGCTCTCCGTTTCTGCGTTAGAAAGCAAACGGCCATGTTACGATAAGTTAAATTTGAGGGGATATATGCACGTGGTAGGCGGAAAATCTAAAGGATGAACACAAGTTCGTCGACCGTGTTGAGGGTGAATCGACATGCCGACGAGGCGGAGCACTCGCTTCACCGGGATTTATAGCTTGGAACGAGGTAGAGGATGATCTTCCGTCGAGTGAGGATTTAAATGAGGACATAAGAAGTGCAGCCGAGAGTTTTATGGGGTGTTCAAGAGCTCTCGAAGGAGAGTCGATAAATGGCCAATCAAAATCTCAGATCTAAGAATGTTATGAAGTAAGATAGTGCATCATGGAATCGCTTACTTTAAAAACGATATAAACTCTCTAATAAATTGACTGAAATATATATCGACACACTGCACATCCAGCATTATATAATATTTACATCAGTACTTACATAAAAAAGCATATATGTGTGTGTGTGTATTTAAATGTACATATATATACACTTTTTTAATGTAACATAAATTTAAAAACTTGTTTCATATATATAACATATAAAATTAATTATAATTTATGTAATACATATATATATAACATCTCGTTTGATTAAAAAAAGGTCACGTATCGAAAAAGTTTAACATGAAACAAAAGTTGAAAATCTGCACGCGACATTCACTTGAAAATATTCCATACGATGAGAACCAGATGATAATAACGATATGTAATACCTTTGTGCGCGGGACAGCGATGCGTATTATCGCGAAACAAAAGTGCCGCAGGTTCACTTCCGCAGGAATTTCATTTTGCGAGCGCGCGTATCATGACCGCGGTTTTATTCGCAAAAGCGCTGGCAAAGTTTCCGGTGTAAGGTTTCGTTTTTCCCGCATGGTTTCGATCGCGATTGGAGTCCATGAGAAAACTAGCGATAAACAACTCTCGTGGAAACTTTGCTCTACGAGCTTTCTGCCATCTAACAAAATTTACTTTAGCGCGATCAGTATCGAGAAATTTCTTTCTCTGTGGATACAAATTTGCGCTATCGTTAGTACAAATAATGCTTTTTTAATTGTATTACGATAAAAAAATTTAGAATTTAATTATGCTTTTTATCGATTATTGTAAATCGAATAATTCAGGACAGTATCGAATTTGTAAGAGTCGCCAAACTGTAGGCATATTAATAATTTAATTAATGACTAAATCGATAATTATGCATTTGGACGATGTAGTCATATAAAAAGATGTATAAATTAGTTCATCACCAAATTTTGTAGTAGAAGAAAACTCTCCATTGTTGCATTTGTTTGCAATGAAAATTGCATTGTTGCAATTTTCATTTATTATTAACATTACTAACATTTTGAGCGTATCTCAATAAATTCAACCTGCATCTATTTCTAAAAATACATTCATAATAATGTTTCAAAGATAAAATTTTGGCGCACTACAATGTTACTTATTGGGAATTCTCACGAATATAATGTATTACAGTCGAATACGACGAATACAGTCTTATTGCACTCAACACAACAGCTTTGTGTTGAGTGCAATAAGGCTGTATTTGTCGTAGAACATAGATTCATCGATATTCTAATGGGCTTCTCGCGCGATATCGTTACAATCCTATTCATGCAAGTGGATACTGCTCTTACAGTAGTAACGGTCGCGATGAATACAGCCCCATAGTTGCTGTATCTACTATACTGAGTATAGGAGGATTATAAGATTGCTATCTGCCGTGAGACTTGTATCAGAGAGCACACTATATCTTTTGTATCTTCTATTCTACCGTTATCCAGGAACAGTCGTAGACTTTCATGTGTAGCTTTTCGATTGTACGTTCGCTTTTCAATTTTCTATTTCGTCACAAGATATTATGCCGGTCTTTCTTCTTTTTGCTATCATTGTAACTGGTAGAAAATTGAAAATCACCAGAAAAAAGAGACTGTAAAGAGTATCTATACTTTTCTATCCCATTATGTTAAGCCTTTCAATCTTCTCCGGCTTACGTTTCAATACGAGTTTCGAAATTGTGCAATATAATACAATTAATAATGTTCTAAAAAATTATTAAATTGTTAATAATTTATATAAAATATTAATTCGGAAAAAATTAATCATTTTTAGTTCCTTATAATTAAAAATTTTCATATTTTAACATATATAAAATAAAAAAAATAACAAATTTAGAGATTTGTATCGTACAATTTTTAAAAAATTAATGCAAATTATATTTTTTAAATTATAAAACATATAATATTAATATTAATCTCTATATATTGTTCTAAATTTATCTAAATTTATTGTTTGCACAATTTAAAAAATTTAGAAACCTTAGATTTATATTCACACACATACATTTCAGTATTTCAGCTATGTCTACATCGTCAATTTTTGATATATAGATTCGTGAAAATGTCGAGAATGTCCGATCTCGCCGATTGTCCGCAAGCTGCGCAAACGTCACCAAACCGATATACACCTCGATATTTGACGACGGAGATCTTGTTTACGCGAATCGATATTGCCGACCATGCCGATAGCACCGGCTGTAATGGCAACAGCAACGGTAACAGCAACGACAACGTGACGTTCGTTCGTCGTTCGTCGTTCGGAAGCAATTTACCGCGCGCTTTGCGTCGCGAGTGATCGATCGTGTCGAGCAACGTTGTGTAATTTTGGTCGACGACGACGTTCGTAATGATTTATAAAACGACAAACGTGTGTGCAGTGATTTCTGCGGAAAATCCGGAAATTGCTACATTCTTTTGTGTTCGAGTCTCGTTGCAAAAGAATCAATAAATTACGATTTATTTGCCCCGTTGCTTTTAATCTTCGAGAAATGATTTGTAAACCATGTGGCGGACGTGTATGATGTGTATAAAGAATAATGTTCTCAAGACACTCTAAAATTTGTCAGATTCTTCTGAACAACTTTTGCTTGCATAGAGATCATTCTATTGTAATATACTTGCTTCGTATTTTGAATGAAATTATAGTGCTAGGAAAATAATGTTGTAGCAAGGCAAGATCTCTTTAAGTTTCGATATCCGAATAATTTCCGAGCGTATTCCGCTTATGTTCAATTAACTTCCGATAGTATTATCAAAGTTCTATTGGCGTATTAATCTTCGCTATGCCGGGATTACGCGTATTATTATTCGCGACGGTCCCATCTCTGCTGAACATGATCCGAATAACACGTTCTGTGATAACAGATAAGGCGATCGTTCGTCTCGGGTTTTGTTGCCGATCCATGAAGGGAAGCTTTTTCTTCAATCCCGCGCCCTGAATATACCCCGATTTGTGCGAATGATTGATCGCCGCCGTGCGATATCGGCGGTCGTAGCTTAAAAGCGCCGTTGCTCCGGTAGTGCAAGTGATTCGTGCAGAATTTCGGCTATTAGCCGCGCGCCGCAAAATGAAGATATACGTCGCGTTTGTTCCTTGTGATTGATAACTTCCGATCGCGGATCCGTGTAACCGATGCATAAGTAACGTATCATTTTTCATTCGCCGCGTCTGCAAATTTCGCGCGCCTAATTTCCCTTTTCCACCTTCGAGCCGAGCGCGTTTTTAGCCAGCTGCGATCGAGCGGTATTGCCGAAGTATAACCGTGCACACCTATCTCCGCGCTCTGCAATTTGTCAGCATTGGATTTACGCGTGTCACGTGTGATAGACAAATTCGCGGAACGTGCGAAGAAGAAAACTCCGCGGATTTATTCCTGCGGACGCGACGGATGCAGGTCCCAGACAGCCGTCGGTCTTTGAAGGATTGAATTATACGAGGATCTATACTCCGCGAAAATCGCAATTAAAAATGTAATATCGTCATGAGATAGTATTTCTAAGAAAATAAAGATTTTGCCAATTTTATATGTCATAACAGAATTTTGTAGTTTTTAATATCGATTTTTCTATCTTAGGACCTTTTATATAGCGTAATTTTAGAATCAAGTCTCTAATAAAATTAAAAATTCCATCTTTGTTCCATCTCACAAAATATAAAACTATATTCGTTTAATTGTAGCAGGCAAAATAAATTATCTTAAATATATAAAATAAAGGCTCTCGCGAAAAACAAACAAAGGAAAGCGGGCTAATTAAGAGCCGAGAGCGCAGTTAAGTACATTTGCGCAAATATTCTAATTAATAATTATTTATTATGGTAAATTTGGAACGTTTCGATCCTGGTATCGGACCATCTTCAGCGAGTGGTTAATCAAAGTATGCGCATACTTGAAGATGGTCCGATACCAGGATCGAAACATTCCAAATTTACCATAATAAATAATTATTAATTAGAATATTTGCGCAAATGTAACTGCGCTCTCGGCTCTTAATTAGCCCGATTTCCTTTGTTTATATTATCTTAATTTATTTGTCTATCTTTTTGACAAGAATTACCAAAATATTATCTACTCGAGCCAATTAATAATTTTTTGTTCTTTTTACATAAAAATAAATTGCTAAAAATTAAAATTATTATATAAAGCATCAAAATAATTATTTATTTTTGATACAGCCAGATCTATCAACATTAAATACAATCTCGTTGTCCGCTACTTTCAAGTTTTGTGGGGCGTGTGGAATTGCGCGAAAGAGCGTTCACCTACGAAATGGTGATTGCTAGGAAACGCAAGAAAGTAGATTCCGATGAAGCTATTTTCACGATGCTGTATAGAACAACGAGCTTGGTAGCTACAAAAGAAGTTTTGCCCTCTTTATCCTGCCGGGTACGGTAGTTTTCCGTTGTTACGACTCGACGCAACTGGGCATTTAGGTTAATTAAAAATCTTCGTATTCCAATCAACTGAGATGAATGAATCGTTCATTTACTCGTAACAATATTTCACTGCATGTGAATATTCGACTGTAAAACATTCCATTGAAATTCATGAGCAAATAGTGAATGCAAAAATCAACTTTTAAAAATTAACTTTTGAAAACTAACTTTTGAGAATTAATTTTTAAAAATTAACTTTTGAATTATAATGTATAATGCAGAAAATATAACATAACTTTTATAACATTGTCAATATTCCAGATATTTAAGTTCCTTCAATTATTTTCTATTTTACTAAAGTGTTGTAACACTTTACAGATGGTGCATATTGCAATGAAATTTTATAGATTTCTATTATATTAATCCATTAACACATAATTCAATATTTTACGTTACTTTTAAAAATATTGTATATAAAATATAATTTTAAAAAATGATTAAACCTTAAGCACACACATGTATATTGCTTGTACCACATAATTCGGACTTTTGTTTACGATAAAAACAGATAAATTTATATTTTTCGATAATGATATATAAAATCGCATTAGCCGAGTATTTGTATATAAAAGTATATACATATCGATGAAAGATAAAATAAAGCTAAAGGATTTGTTTGAGCCCTAATGGGCATTCTGTTAGATTAGAAGCGTGTTCGTATTAAGAATAATTAAGAATAAAGTCGAACAAAAATTGTACATTATATCGTTTACCTGACGCAGTAATAGTGATCATGACAATGGCGATGACGCCGAGCACCGTGGCGGTCGGCTGCATTCTCCAACCAGCCATCTCGAAGATCCGCGCGATCTCAGCCCTCAGGAATCTGCTCCATCTCGTTCATCTTCCCTCTACGCAAGAAATTGAATGACTATGTTAATAATAAATAAAGATTATAAATTGCAAATATTAATTTGTAAAATTACAATTATACATTTAAGATTCAAAACTACAGAGCAAATTTAATTCCTAACAAATTTAAAGTTACACATTTGATAAACAAGATAAGATATAATTACAATGGTTTATTTCGATATAAATGATTTATTTTGATATGTCTTTTAGATGCAATTGCATAAAAAAGAGCAAATTCTCTCTTCTCTTTTGAATAAAAAAAAAAAATAATAAAAAACAAAATATTCAAATTTCTATTTAAATGAAGAGATTTTTAATATCTTTACTAATATCTGTGTTTTTTTCTATTTATAATTTATTTGCTCAGAATAGAATAGATATTGTTTCTGAACATTCTTCGCATTTTTTTTTGCCAGCAAAACTTTACTTCAAAACTCGAATAATGCATCGGAAAAGTGTGCATTTATTTTTCGCACGAGATTACTTTCGCAAAATCGCTTGGATGGGTTGGCGAAAACATTGAAGGAACACGTGATTCGTTTCGTTTTACGATAGCAAAATCAAGAAGTTCGTTGTGCCAAAGTTCCTACTAAGCATTGTTAAAAAGGATCGTTGAAAAGCAGGCGTCGTAACTTTTACTGCGCTACTTCCAAGTTTTAATCTCCCATTGTAATGAGTGCTATAACGAATGCGCGATGTTACATCTTTTTCAGTTCTACTAAAGAAATGTATCGTAGAAAAACGGTCAATCTGCATTCTGATATTTTTCTGCTAAGCGTACTAAAAATAGCTGACATATGCCACACATTTCTTTTAAATAATTATTTTAATATCATATAAAATTTTATCTTTCTTTTTTCTCTCGATATAAAATCATAAAGAGAAAAATTGCAATACATGACTATAAGAAGCAAGGTTTTATATACATATATTAAGTATTCTCTTAAGAGTTTGTTGTTCCCAAGAAAGATAATAACTCCATTATTCCGCTAATGGTTTTATCAATTACATTTTGCTGTTTCGGTTTTTTACGCATATTTTTTTATTTATTTAAAAAATAGGAGATAAGCAACAGTTTATATCTTACTGGTGTAAAGAAATATTGCGGAAGAAAAGGAATATATCTCCTTGACGAGTTGTTTGACACAAAACCGACAAATTGCATTGCGTAATCAACGTGTAATCTGCTCATGGCATCACTATAATCGTTAGCAGGTAACTTCGAAGCCATTTATAGAGTTAAATGAGTACGGCACCAACGTGTTTCGAGTACTCCTGGAAATGCTAGCTGAGAAACATCTACAGTTTCGCTATATTAATTGGCATGACTAAACGACACGTGAATTACACAAGGCAGATTTATCGCGTAAATAATAGTTGCACACATATATGTTGACAAAAGATATAGCACATAGAAGTGATATTGTTAATGAATTAATCTTCTCTTTCTCTCTCTCTCTCTCAATGTGTACCTAATCATAATCATACTATCTTCTTATTTGTACAAAATGTAAACACATGGATTAACAATCATACAGTATTGTTATCCTGATGTTTCGATATAAGTTGATTATATTATAAAGTATGATTATATTATTTACAAATAGCAATAAATTTTAGATATAATAAATAAAAAAATCAAAGCATGATATACAACAAAAGATAAGTAAAAGAGATAAGTTTTTCTCATTCACTATATACTTTTAATTAATTTTTTAAATAATTATAATACATATAAAAATATTAAATTATTATTTTACATATAAAATAAAAAAAAATGTTATATAATAAAAAATGTAAAATAACATATAAACATAAAGAATAATGCTTTCAGTCATTTTATAGATGATCACTGACAATACAAAATTCATGCGAGTAAAAATTTTTCATAATTTCCATAGCTAAAAATAAGAAGAATTTATATTGTGTCATAAATAAATATAGGTTTAATATTAAACAGATTAAACCATACAAGAATATTTACTACACTGTACGGCGGAATTTACAATTACGCGGGTAAGGCAATTATTAAAGAGCTACTCGTGATTAAGCTTGCTTCCTTAGAAATATTATCCTCGACCTCGACCACATTCCCTAATTTGCATCCGTCACCTCTAACAAACACGATTTGCCCGTCTTTCCGACGTTGACGGATAAATAAAGTTTTTGAAGCAGCTATAGTTATCATTAAACGTATATCTTCTCTCTTCGTACATCATTGATCAGAAGTCAAAATTGTTGCATAGAACTACAATATTTATATTAACTAAAATTGTGTGTGTGAAAGGAGAGAATAATTTAATTAAAAAATTAAGATCTGTAAAATGAGATAAAAAAGCGTTTGTATAATAATTATAAAGAAAACTAAATAATAGTTTATATAATAATATAACATATTTAAATCATGAAGTATGCCGCACGCGCGCGCAAAATTCAGTAATCAAATAAACATAAAATAAAACAATTTTTTATAATCGAATAAAATTAAATGTATTATTCAAAAATTGGCTTATATACAAATACGTCACTCATTTTTTTATACACATTATTCCTTTCATATTTGTATTTATATTTATAAAGCATTATATACAGCACGTTAAAGTCGTTTTACTTTGTTTTCCGTAAAATAACTGCGTGTTACTGTTTAATACCCATCAGTTTTTGAAATATGCTGTCGATATATCGACAATATTCACCACGTTATTACACAGTTTCCGTTAATCGTTAGCAGAGTGACGGTATTTATTTTTCGCAAGCGAAAATAGGACAGTATTAAAATTTATTGAATCGTGACGTGTAGTTGCACTCAGGTTGTCAATAAAACAAAATATATTGATATTCTCACGCGTAAATATAAATTGAATGTATTAATTTATTTGCTTATTTGACTATTTTTTTATTATTTATTATCTGTTATAGCTTATTTATATCGTAATATATGAGCTTGTATTTTGTGTATATTTTATCTAGTAGTAACAAGATCAGTGCTCAAAAATACGTATTAATTTATTGTTTAAAGATAACGAGATACAAATTACTTTTCGTATATTTTTTATTGTTATATTTTATCTAGCCTGTAAACTATATAAATTTAGATAATACAAAATAAAATATCTTCTAAAATATATATTGTTACAGGGAAAAAAAATCCTGTTGCTTCAATTAAAATCTACGTCACGGGCTGCCAACAAACATACATAGTTCATTCAATGATATTTTTATTGGATCAAATATTTGGATTCTTAAAACAACTATTCAAATATTTGATCCAATAAAAATATCATTGAATGAACTATGTATGGTTGTGGCCTTGACGTAGACTTTAATTGAAGCAACAGCATTTTTGTTCCGTGTAAGAATAAGCTTTAATATATCACATCTTTCTCTAATTATAGATAAATTGTAAATTCAATATATTACAAATTATATAAAACAATTTTATTACAAATCGCGCAATAAGAGATTTCTGCTATATTTAATTCAGTTCTTGCAAAGAGTGAAATTAGAAATATATTGTACATTGAAAGTTTTCGAAACATAAACGACACCATTGTGCCGGTTTAAAGAAATCGTAATATAAATTGACTATACAAACTAACAAACTAACATCACATTGAAACTTTTCCATTAAATTCATTTCTTTCATCAGCGCAATATCAGAGTTGTTGCATGCGAAAAGTTGCCGACATATAATCGCAATTAAACGCCAGAACGCCGATCATGTCCTCTCAGGATTCGTGCATTCGTTAACATAACTTCATTACGAGCTAATGAATCAGATATCGAAACTGCCTATCGAATTGTTGGATTTGATGAATAATTAGAACAGTTTCCGAGCGCATAATCGTGATTAGGTGACGCATTTAGCACTTTAAAACTCAAATCTATTTAATCATTGTACGCACAAATTCAATCAAAATTATTTTTGGATTATCTTCAATAAATAGCTTATATAATCATTAAAATATTTAATGTCAAGTATTATTAAATTATCGCGCTAAGATAAGATTATTTTTAAATAGAAATTCCCATCTATAAATACGTATATATAGCTGAAGATCTGTAGATAAGAAAAATATGGGAGACGTTCTTGCGTATGGTCAGAACATATAATTAAATTTAAAAAACTGATGGACAAACATCCGACGATATGGCTACGCTTATAGCAAGTATGAACGGAGAGCAGACATGACGAGTCTCACGGCCGACTACCAATTATAATGTTTAATCAGACGAACGTAATTATACGTACGGATATATACGATGCGCTACCACTTACCAAGAGTCGAGACGGAACGAGATTCGCCGAGCCGGAGAGAAGTCAAATATTCGTACAGATATGATTGCATAATTCTGCCCGGCCTCGCGTGGCATTTCGAGAATTTCTACGTAACACGAAAACTTTGATCTCGGGATTTCTCCTTTGATTCATGTGCTATCTCGGTGCAAGCGTCGTAATAGTAAATCAACTGCAAGTCTTCTTTGCAAGCTAAACGATGGAATTATGAATTTAGCTTACTTTTGCTTCCACAATACCACAGTATACACAGTATTCACTTGCAGAACTCAAAAGTTAATTTTTTTGCAACATTAAATTATGCTAAAGACTTTTTTTCTGAATGTAAGTTGATATTTGATATTATCTAATTACAAATACAAAAGCTCAAATAAAACATTAATTATCAAGAAAACACATTTTAATTTTCAAGAAAGATTTGCACTGCATGCGAAGTATTTTGTGTAAAGATGTGAAATTTTCTTATTCATCCTTTAAAAGAATTGCACAATTGTTCATCTCAAAAATAAGATTCGTAAATAAAGATATAGATCGTTTGTATAGGATAAGATCCAAAAAATAAAATTTGAACTTATTCTTGCCACAAAAATAATTATATATAAAAATGCAATATATTAAATTGCAATATTTTATTACAATATGTGTAATATAATATTATATTTATATAATATAATATCTAATATTACATATTTTTATAAT